ATGAAGGGGACCCGGGGTAGCCCAGTCGGTATAGCGACTGGCTACGCGCTGGATGATCGTGGGAGAGGAGTTCGAGTCCCGGTCGGATCAAGAATTTTCTCTTCTGCAAGTCGTGCAGACTGACTGTGGGGTCGACCCAACATCCAATGGACCGGGTGCTCTTTCCCCGGGGGTAAAGCGGCCAGGACGTGAAGCTGACCACTCACCTCCAGCTACTGCCGAGGTCAAGAAAATATGGATCTATACATCTATTCCCCCAAGGCGAATAGGCGAATAGAAGCATGGCTCCACTCGTTCTTGATCTCGGTACTAGGTCCGCTTGATTCTCGGAAAAGAACACTGAATCTATTGGATGAGGGGCTAAGTGGTCTTCCCAGCCCAACTTGGAACCCAGATACCTGTGAGTCCAGGTCGAAGACGGGATTACAGGGTTTTTGGACTTTACCCGTCTTCCGGTACCTTAAAGTTCATTAGTATACAAATTTTCATACCTTCGGTCCAATGATTAATGGTAACTTTTTCTAACAGAACCAAGAGAGGTGTTTCCCACCCCCTAGCCTGAAGACGGAAACATATTCAATTTCCGAAACGTTGCGTTCTTTAATATTTTTAGAATACCGGATGATGGTCAAAATCCATTAATTCCGAATGTTATACACCATCGTCAGAACCCGTCTCGTAGCCTAGTCACTATACTGACTGAGCTATAAATCATAGACGATTCGTTCTTATGGGTAGACCACAACTGTATATATTCATCTAACTCGCAGTTGGCCGGAGCCAGGGGATAGCTCAGTCAGTATAGTGGCTAGGCTACGGAGTTAACGACTTGGGAACAGGGGATCTATTCCCTATAGGGACAGTGCTCCTTCCCTGCCCCACAGCACTTACATCTGCTGTGGAGCCCACCTAGCCTTTCTAGTAGGCACTGAGAGCTCATTGCCCAGATGTAAAGCGGCCGGGCAGTGAAGCTGACCGCTCACCTCCAACTAATCCCGAGGTTAATTATGGGCGGCGTTTCACCTCCACTTCTTCATTCGTCCTCATGGCGTTATATGTAATTAAGCACAATGGAAAATTCATAGACATTCGACATATTATATTCGTTATTAGTATGTAAATTGAATTATTTCTCGATGCTTCCCAGGCTGTAATATGTCGCTTGAATATCATGGTCGGTTAGGTTCCGGCAGTCCTGCGTAATTTGAATTATGATACCGGAAATGAAAATGTATACGTCACTGGTACGTTGACAAACAATGGACATCCTCATTATTGATCCAAATACAAAAACATACATTTACAATTTTCACATGCGGTGTGTAGTGTAACCCTGCTACAGTCGTGGCATGGCGGCCGCTGCTGGGGGCGTATGACCTCAGGTGTTACAGTTTTGTGGTTAAAGCATGCAACAGATAATTTTGTGTTTTCACAAATGAACTGAAGACAGCCTTGGATTGTAACACAGTGCAATTCGGAGAGACCGACATCTCAGAGGAACTTATTGCCTCCATCTTCACGGTCGAAGAGTAAGCCAAGCAGAAGCAGGAAGCAAGCTGAGTGTACCGACCGAGAATGGGCTCAGTCACCTCAGCACATATCATATTCATATTGACACTTGGAGGTCACCTTAATTTCCTAAAGCACTCGGACCAAAAGAGGGTCCATTGTGCATCCCTTATTTCATTACTGAAAGGACCTTCAGCGTGTGCTATCTATCTATTTATCTGTCTATGGTTCTACTGTCCTTTGTTGTGCCTTGCCCGTTATTTTCAGTTTCTTAATCCTATACAAAGCCGGTAGGACTCCTTGGACGGGGGATCAACCCGTCACAAGGCCGCTACCTACACACAGAACAACACAAACACAGAATAAACGCACACAGACATCCATGCCTTGAGAAGGATTCAAAAGCATGATCCCAGCGTTTGAGCGAGCGAAGACGGTTCATGCCTTGGACCGCGAGGCCACTGTGGTCTGCTTGAGCGTGTACTAGTGCCGAAAACATCCCGATTCAAGCCCTCCTAATATTTCTCGTTTATGACCATGCAGAGCTCATGAGTTCTACCCTATGTGAAGCCAAAGCTGGCCATTGGCGAAGTGCGGCCGCTACTTTTCAGGTTTCTTTGAAATCGTCGACAATTCGTTCGTCCCGTTATTCGGCAATGCATAAGCTGAATGGTTCGAACTCTGTCACTAAGCGAAGACTCGTGATGAGATGGGGAATAAGAGAAATGCAGGCGACATTTCAAACGGTGAGCATGAACTTGGGAAAACTTCGGCGTAGATAAGAGGGCAATATTTAAAAGGATATTGAAGAAATAAAGTCCTGGGCGTGTAGATAGGTTGATCTGGCTAATTTTAGGGTCCAGTAGCGGCTATTTTAATGCTTCGAGTTTTGTCAAAAGTACAGGTTTTCTTGACTTGACGTGATAGATCATGAAGAGTCAAAGGTCATCAAGAACAGAATAGACCGATTATCCCTTCTTATCGAAGGAATTTATTGACTTTTTATAAGTGAAACTGGTCTCCCTTCACTGAAAGTGCAGCTCACCGCGCTTTTGTGCATTTATGGTCGGTCTTCTCGTCGGGATGACGTATCAGAGTAGATAAAACGTAAATTCCTTAACAATCTGGTCAGTAGTCCACACTGAACTCGATAATAACACGAAAAGAATCGGCTTAGGGAGCCGATCGCCATATAACCAAGTAGTTAAACTCCGTGGCCTGTAGTCCACAAGCGACCGCCATTTGTCGGCGAAGTTAGTGCCAACTTTGCTGATGGAGGATGTCGCGTGGTCAGCGCAACGGATCCCCACCGCGGTCAATCTCGGTTTTCTAGACCGAACCTCTGTTTCCTCGAAATAGCTCCTAATTATCCTCAGGAGGCTGAGTAGATACGTGGGTGGGTGGAGGTATACCTCCATGCATTCTTAACCTCAGCACTAGATGGTTTGATGTCGGAAAAGTGTCCTTGGAACTCGCTATATAGGAGCCTGGGTGAGCCCTACAGACGTCTACACACTGTGTAGAAGAGAAGAATCTCTCAGATCTGTCGGGAATGGAACCCCACTCCCTAGGCCGCATATCCTGTACCCCGTTGTTGTACCGAGTGAACTGTAACAATAATCATAATACGACAGTGAAGATGGAAGCGGCACGTTCCTCCGATACGGCATTAAGTATCTACCAGACTACACGTTATCACATCCAAGAAGTCGTTATTTAAAAATCTTAGTTTAAAATTAGTCTTATGGAATATGACATCGTGTAGTCTGCTGGGCATTGAAGATGGAGCCAGCACGTTCCTCAGAAACGTTGGGCACAATCTACGACACTACACGGCGTCACATTTCAGAAGTCAGTAATCTTCGAATCTGCTTTCGTTCATGTGCAACTTTCGAGCGCTGGACTTTAGGTTTTCGTAAAGTTGTAATATTCATTCAGTCCTGTCAGTTAGTGCGGTTAGTGCCATATGGAGCAAGTTTCTGTGTCAGCGACAACACACTGTTTATGCGCCTGCCACTAGTGGCGCTGAGAAACCCACCACTGTTTCCCGTGTGTTCTCACTTCTTGATAAGTCGCCATTTATGTAGCTACTCAAGAATTTCCTAGCGTTTGTGGAACCCGAAGACTCATTACCGTGTTCGCAGTAGCCTTCTACCGATCCCTATCCTGATCCAGATGTATAACATCCATTCTATCTCTCTAACATCCATTTTAATATTATCTTCCCACCTACGTCTAGGTCTTCGTAGCGCTCTCTTTCCTTCCGGCTGTCCCACCAAAATTCTAAACGCATTTCTCTTCCCTATGCGTGCTGCACACCTTTCCCATCTCATTCTCCTTGACTTGATCATTCTAATTATACTTGGCGAAGAGTATAAGTTGTGGGAGCCACCCACATTGAATTAAGCGCTGGCCGATCAGCTCGGAACACGGCAGCTCCAACCACCATTGGTTCGCTCGCCGTTAGCGACAACGTATAAAAATGCGGACCTCCGACACCCCAGTCGTCAGTCGCAGTCTAGGAATCATCCGCTTCTACGCAACGGCTCAGTATGCTATTTTCATATGCCATCTCTGTTGTATATACAAGTATTACACAAATAGAGAGGTAACTGCCAACCCTCTTCTGCCTTTTGGTTTAGTAAAGACTTCTATATTTGAACTACAGACATGCAAGGCGAACGTTAGAGAAAGATCAAGGAGACTCAGGAATGAGGTATTTGTGGCGTTAACATGCCTGTTAGTGGAGACAAGAGGAAGAGTTCAATATATCTCTTCCCTCCGTTTCCCATCAATGTTTGCTTATGCTACTGATAATATTCTTGCGAAATCTGGAGTTAACATATATTTAGGTCAACAAAGTGAATATTCCTGATAATCCAGCACCTTGTGTAACTATCTGAATACCTTCCGTATTAAATTGTGTATACTTAGCTCGAAATTTGCATTTCGAATTTTTAATTGATAATTTGCCGGTCCCGGTAGCCGAGTGGTCTAAGGCATGCACTGTCTTCGCTCGCTTGGAAACCGGGATCGTGGGTTCGAATCCCACTCAAGGCATGGATGTTTGTGTGCGTTTTTCTGTGTTTGTGTACAGGTAGAGGCCTTGCGACGAGCTGATCACCCTCCCAAGGAGTCCTACCGAATGTACAAGATCTAGAAAAACCGAAGTGAACGGAGAAGTTCATGGAGGTAGGCCTAGGCCCACTGGGGCTATAGTGCCAAGGAAAAAAAATTGATAATTTACAACAACTCTGGAATCTCAGATTAGTGTGTTTCCTGTGGTATAAGCAACTTCTTCAACCCCTAAGTTGAGCGGGATGCTCGAATGGTCCCTGAAATACCGGCGAGCACGATGTGATTATGGTTGTACGGTATCATGTGATTGGCTAAAGTTGAGCTGGAGTCCCACACATCTACCAATCATTCTCCGGCTTCTAGAGTTTCGTTTCACGCGTGCGCATTGAAGCCACAGGAAGTTTCTCTTCACCGTGAAAAACATGTCTACAGCTGTGTAGTTATGACTTAACACAAGAATAAGGACCATGGATTACACAGTTCAGGTAATATTACATTAAATTTACATAATAATGACCCTGAAACATGAATTTGTATTGTGTTCAATTTCTGTTTGCGAAGGGTAAGTATTACTGCAGTATTTTAGACCGAATCTCGAAGATGATTCGTCACCATGCAGTGTTCAAAATGTCGCAGGGCAAAGTATGTCTGTGCACGTGGTGGCATAATTCTGTTAGTTTGCATAGTGCGTACTTTAGTTTCCTGCATAATGTTCTTTTGAGAAATGCGGTATAATGAGTATAATTATTACTATTTTCTGTATTGAATTTCTCGCAAATTACATTAGCCGACCATGCTCCATAAGCAAGGTCGCCGGAAAAATATTGTAGTGGTTATCGTAGGAATGAACAGTTACTACAGTACGAAATACAGTTTGCGAATATGTGATTACGATAATGCAACCTTCTGTTACAAAATAATGATAGTGATGTTTACTATCCCGAACATATAGTTACAGTGCAGTGGAGAATGAGCGAATCACGTGGGATGTTCACGAGATTATTCCCGTTTGTTTATTTTATAGCATTATTTATCATTTAGTAAGAGCCTCACCTCATTCGTATACACCGGCTGTTGTTAACACCAGTCGCAGTGAAGTGGTATCATTGTGGGAGCAGTCATTAGGATCAACGTGGAATAAACGCTTCCAAAGTACTGTCAGATACAGTAAATCGCGGGATGATTTGCATGAAATTAGTTGAAGTTAATTTTTTATGGGAAATTCATGTCATGTTTTTCATAAGTATGTTGGGATAAGCAAACAGACGTACTGAATTATAATGGCAAGAATGATTGAATAGGTAAAGGAATATTGTGATTAACAATAAAGTTGAGAAATAGTTAAGAAGGTATAGCTAACTAGTGGCATATTACTTGCCAACCATAATAATTCTAACGATGACCATACGAAAACTACTGTGGACTCCCACATTGTTTAGGGTAGATGGGAAATTCATCGCCCTGGATGATCAATGAGGGGAAATGTAAATAACTTGTGAAGTTGGATTTATGACACACATACATTTGTAAGTATGGTTTACTCAAATGGTATTGGTAGAAACATGAGTGTAATTATCAAAAGCTCTTTTACCATTTCTACAGCTTAAAAGAGAAAAATTAAATAAAGAAAGCTTTCTTGAACTTCTTAGTACATATTCAAATGCAAAATAAAACTCCCTCCCTTTTATATGTGTTCATTTGTAAAAATCCGTTTCATATGAAGTTTGCCTTTTACATTGGACACACCATGAATTTTCTAAACAACCCCCTCCCAAAAGTTAATCAAGAGTCTACTGTATTACAAACGGTTTTTTTTATTCATAGGTAATATTGTATACTGTTTTGGCTAAAGTAGTGAGTAGTGCATTCTACTCATTATGTAGAAATCACAGAATCTAAAATAAATGACTGTCTTCTTTTAGTTAAAAGCATGTATTGTTAGGGCCCTCATAGGGCAAACTTGGAAACCAAGATGGAGCATAAGTATGGAATCAGAAATTTGCCCTTGACCTGCACTGTGATTTGCATTTGAACCCACTGTTATAATAGACACTACACAATGTAATTGCAGTTAGATTTGAGGATCTCATGACAGTGACTAGAATAATAGTGCCTTATGGGTTGTACTGCTGTGTCGATTGGAAGAAGGCAGACGTTGTGAGGGTCATGTCATCTCTGTCTTTGGGATCAAAGAGTAAGCCAGCAAGAAACCATCAGAAACATGTGGCCGGGCTTTTAGTCTTTCTCTGAACAACATAGCAGTACAGCCATGATGACTACTCTTTGCAATAATTTTCTCAATCTGATCAGTAATCTTGGGTTTGATATTGTCGCGTATCGGGCGTATATCGCGACAAATAACTTCTCGATGTATTTGATGTAGCGAATTTTATTTCACATTCGCTCTCACAATCACCCAAATTACAATCTGACGATTACTGCTATCTGCAGTATCACAATTAGTACACTGAAAAATGCCACAATACAACTGACTGGTTGCTGGCTAACTCGGAACGGACTCGTAGGTAGCTCCAGGACTAACTGACTGACTCAGTACAAACTCGGCGACTGTTACAGTACAACTGATCTGTGAATAGCCTTCGCTTCTCCCTATGTAGCCTCGATCGGACAATACGGCCACGTAATAGGCACCCTTGTTGCTAGCCACGCTGTCCGGTTCCGTCACCGCTGTTGATTCGCGTTGCCTAGCGACCGCGATCTCCCTCGGTGACGTCACCGCGGAGGGGAGTGGCGGGGCGGGAACTCGCCTATTACCATAGTAACGCGAGCGTTACGTTACCGCCACGTACCGCTGGGGAGGTAGGGGTCAACATGTCACAATATTGTGTACATGAATGCATTGATATGGAATACTGATCTGTCCACAGTGAAAATTGTACTTTTGTGACTTTGCAGCAGTTACTGGACTGAACAACAAATTCTGTGATTATTTCAACTATTCTGTGACAAAGATTGAAGTCTCTCTGATTNCAAAGTTGTCGTTAAGAGTTCCAAGCACTGTACATGACACATGAATGGTAAGCGATGACGTAACGTGCTGACTGCGCGTTCTGATAAAGCCAACTCCATAAGCACGGATAGGATGAATCACGGCAGTCAAGGACAAACAGAGATAATTCCTCTCAGCTGATAGGTATAATCCGTGGACCCGCTAGAAGACCACACTTTTCTCGGGCCATTATCTCCGTAACCGTTCAACTTTGGACATAGGTGTCTTGGGTTATATCGGCATACTTTAACATAAGGAACACCCTCCCGAAGTTTGGCACATTCCTCCTGGGACACCCTGTATATTTTGAGTCTGTAAACTTAATGGGTATGATGTGTCCCAGAAAGAAGTGCAGTAAATTGAAGGGTTGTTCCTTTTGTCCAAAGCAATAAATGCAGTTTAAACGTGGGTCCAGAAATTCTTCTATATCCCCTCCCCTTATTAATGACTCTTTAGTATCCAGAGCATATAGTGTGATGATAGGGTGATTAATGAATGCGGGGCAGTTGGTGCAATGAGACTTGGTAGGGGAAACTGAAATATTCTGGGAAACCTACCCCAGTGTAAATTTGCCCACCACAGGTCCCACGTTTTCTGACTAGGGATCAAACCCAGGTCCGTGCATAATGGACTAAAGCCATGTAAGGGTATTTCTGCCAGCAGTTGTTTGTTTTGTTGTTGAATTGCAAAGGTAATTAGTGATAAGAGGTAATTAGTCATTTGCATCTGCCACCCCCAGTTCCATTTTCTTTCAGGGGTGTTCCTAGCATAAGCTACTTTTGTAACTGAAGTCCTCTTCTCGGTACTTTTTGAAAGAATGCCTTTGAATGGCTCTAGTTCTTGACTGAAGCATTTCTGAACCCATGTTCATGTGAACTGTATTCACCTGTGAGCAGGCCGTTGCAGTTATGTCTGACACCATATAACCTGTGCATTTGAGGAGTTGTCATTAAGTACCCTATTCAGACTGTATAAACCACATTCATGTAAGAGGAACATTATGGCCACTGGAATGAAGTCTATCCTTCATGTGTATGCTGTTGGATATTGCTTCAATTAATTGTTTGGAGATCCAAAATATTATTCACATCAATTTCTCCAGTTTGCACATTCTTCAGATGATGTTAGTTTTATCGGTGATGGGTCATCACAATGTTTCTTTCCTCTACTACCACCTGCATGGTGGCCAGTATTTGCCAAGCTGCAGTAGCAATTAGAAGGCTGTTGTCTTCAAAGTGAATCTGTCTCTTGAGTTTTGGAGCAAGAATTTTAAGACTTTTGTTAGATAGAACCATTGTGCTGATTCAGTTTTGTTGTCCCTATGCTTAATTAATTACACGATGCATTCTGAAAATAAATGGTGGAATGGAGGTATAGTTCCATCATTTTTGACCTCCACTAGATGGGAATGAGTGATAGCTTCACGCTCCGGCTTCTTTACCCCCACCCCAAATAAGACCTTAAAATTTCTTTACCAGTTTGATAGGAGGCTGGGTGAGCCCCAGAGATGGTCTGAATGCTGTGGAATAGAGAAAAATTTTCTTACCCTGCTGGGAATTGAACCCTGGCTGCCCAACCTGTACCCTGTTGCTCTACCAACTAAGCTATCCTAGCTCCAATTTTGTTATATGTATTTGTACTATTAATGAAGCTGTTGGCAGCTAATTTGAGGTGGTATCCAGGCATTTGCTTTAAAGGCCCATGACAAACCATGAGAAAGCTCCATTGAAGATAACTGGTTGCATGCCATTGGCATTGTTCAACTTGATTCCTATACACTTAAAAGAAGGCACAAAATAAGTTCCATACTAATTTTATAGATTGGTGTAGGCATGTACAACTTAATGAAAGTGGATTGTTTCGTTGCAGACTTTTTAAAGGGCTATCTATACTCGGCATCCATTTTATCCTTGCAGAGACCAGCCTAAATTGGGAACAAGGAATAATTTGCTGTATACGTTGTAACTTTATAATTTAGTCACGAAAGTGACGGGCAGGATATCTAAGAGTTCAATTTCTGTCAGGGATCATGATGATGTTTCTCTTTGCCATCGTGCCAAGACTGGTTGTGGCACAATCCTGTGTTAACAGATTTCAGAAGTTCCTGCTGTGGTGCCGAAACCTATATTCGTCTTCTTCACCCAGCTACATTTCTCTTAGATGGTTCATGCATTACTCAGCATACCTTTCTCTGATATGATCCTGATAGCTTGGCTACAAACAGTGTGACAGGAGCAGCGTATCTGTGCATATGGCTACTGGCTGCATTCAGACAGTGGTGAACTCTTGACTAGGTAGAGGTAGATCCTGATTTTGATATCATTTCCTGGAAAGAAGAAACGGTGTCCTTCCAGTAATGGATATGTTTAAATGACCAGTGGCAGAACCCACAGTGACTATTTGTGCAGCAGAATAGGCGCTAGTGGGACAGTCATGCCCGCAGGTTCATTTACCAGCTTATGTCTGGCGAACACAACTCACTACTGACCTTCAGTCACACAGCACTCTGCCTCTTAATGCACACTGCAGTAGAAACATTTGAAAGCATTTGTACTCTTAACTCTTTTTTCTGAGTTAAAATGACCAGAGTGTGAGTAGAATACATAGGGGTTTTACTGCTGTATTCCCTCTACACCTTCAATGTGTGGTGATTAGGTGCATAAACAGCTGTATCATCTCATCTTATATTTGATGTTACAAGGCCACCTTTTCTGAAGCACATCACTGCTGACATGTGGTTGTAGTCAGTACTTGGAAGTGCGTCAGGATTTCCGAGGATGTTCATTGGCTGTTGTATCTTAGATTATTTGATGACATCATGCCATCTAAGAAGGTTGTATGGCATCTATTTGTAGAGATGTAGAAACGGTTTCTATTTTGTTAAATCGTGAGGGATTTTGGAGGAAATAATTATTCATGTTTTAAGGTGCCTTCCCAAATCTACATTCCTTGCCACAGTTTCCTTGGACATGTTTATCTTCAAAATAATGCTATGAAATACATATCCCAGACTTCCATATATCTGTTGTTCATGTCAACGAAAAGATATCCTAAACATAGTTTTAGTGGGGAGATAATTGTTTCTGTGATCACTATGAAAGGTAGGTAGATTTGTTAAACCCTTTTCTGATGGGATTGCATACACGTGCTTGTTCCTTGATGTAAATTTTTAAGTCAACGTGATCACATATATAAGACATCCATAAATTACAGAAAAGATAAGAGAATGCTTAAACATTTAGGCATAAGAGAATTGAATAGGCTTAATACTATAAGTTTTTAAGTCTTGGACCAAAAGTACCGTTTAACTGACAAATCCTACTGTAGTAGTACCTGCTGAAATAACCAAGGCCAATTGTGGAAATTGCAGATGGACATAAAAATCATTAGTACCTTTGATGAATATGGGGAATGTATGTAAAAGCCCATTCCCCCCCTCCCCCAAAGAAAACATTGATTTTGTCACACTTGATGCTGTCCGTTGTGTGAAATGCTCTGTTAATTGATTAACAAGAAAGGTGATCTCTTTGATCGTGGCAGTTTCAACACAAGTACCCCAAACTAATCTAGTGCAAAGGGTTCGTATATAAAGCCTTAACATTTTTGTATCACAGTTGTTTCTCTGGTTCTTATCTGCTGGTGTGCAGTCATGCCACCATGATTGGAAATTAGTTTAAATAAATATTAATTTTATATTTGAACAAATTCAAGTATTTTAACTTGTCTGTTTGGTTTACTTTTTGCCAAACACCTCAAAAGAACTCCCTCAATTTGAGATTCTGAATTCAACAACTTTCTTCCTACAAAAATTCCCATTTGCATATTTGACAAAATGAAAGGTACTGAGTAGCTTTAGCATTTGATCAAGCTTCATGAAGATAATGTACTTAGCTCTATATTGTACCTATTTACAGTTGTGTTACCAGAATTGTCAGGAGCGTTGTAAGGGCAATGTAACTGCTCTGTCCCTTGATTACAGGTATCAGATGAAACAAGACATGCATGCTGCAGTGTGGCAGTAACAAGTATTTGTCAATTCATTATTTTAACATCTCTTTTTGGGTTTTTGGCAAGATTGATTCTTTCAGTGATTCACCATTGCAGGAAGCAGACATTTTGGTGACTGGCTCTGCATCCTGTGCTTATTTAATAAACTGGAGTGTGGTAGTCACAGTCAGTATCATTCTGTGAACCATGTGGCTGTCTGTAAGTCTTGCTTTTGACATTTTCAATTGTGTACTTCACTAGTTTTTCCCTGTTTGAACATACAGAGCCATTCGTTAGCAAAGTACGAAGTGCTCTGAATTAGAAACATGTTCTTATTTGCTTCACTTGTGGGTCCTGATCATGTATTGTAGATATGAGCCTGTTACTGGCAGAGAAATGGGGGCACATGGTATCATAGTTGATTGATGCACTATGTTACAAGCTGGAAGGTCACAGGTTCAAGACCCAATGAGGTCATTGGATTCTTTTCAATTGACCTGATCCTTCCAACCACACTATGGCCCTGGGCTCGACTAAGCCTCTAATGGAAATAAGTACCAGGAATATTCTTGGGGGTAAAGGGCGGCTGGCGCGTAGGGCTAACAACCTTGCCACCATCTATGAGCCGATTATCTAGAAAATATGGGAACCTCAACATCTCACAACCCTATGGGCCTCCACGGCCTGTTACAGGGATACCTTTACTTTACTTTACTGGCAGAGAAATAGAACAGATCCTATACATGATATGGTCATAAATTCTGTTGTTAACAAAGCCAATCAACATTCTGTATATGTATTATATTTTCTGAAGTGCGCACAATATTAAAAATAGTTGAGATCACAGTTACATATTTCTGGGAAATCCATGATTTTTAAGTCGTGTACCAATATTTTGATTGTGTGAAATTTGAAGAAACATTGATGATAATCTAAAAATCCATTATTATGGTGATAGAACATACAGAGTTGCATATGGCGTGTCCTTGTTATACAGTCATTTTGTTCAGAGTGTATAAAATATGCGTGTAGATCACCCATTTACCTGGCTGTTCAGACAGGGAGTTGAGTAGGTCTAAAATAGTGTATGTTTTTAAACTGTTCAGTACCACTATTCTGTTTTATTTCCATTGCTGCTTTTTCATTACGAGCATCCACATAATTTTGTTTGAAACGCAGGTATAATTGAGTAATGCAAAAAGTGTAATGTTACATTAACCCAAAATGTAATGCCAAAACAGTATTTGTATGCATACAGAGAAGCTTATGAACACCCTCCAAATTATGTGAAATTTGAGGGATGGAGACTCATTTGGTGTTCTGAGCTATGACACAGTGATAAATGGATATCAACATACTGCCGCCACCTTCAGAGTGTAACCCTTAAAATGGAGGTATTGTGTTCCTCTGAAACATTGCGTCCACCCATGAAACTACATGGTGTCAGAAGATTGTAATATGACCCCATCAAATTGTCCCTGCTTGGGGGAGAATCTCTATATGAGGAAGTAAAAAAAANCTTTACTCCCCAGGAAAATTATTTAATTAATTTCTGGTTAGAGGCTGAGTAAACCCCAGGGTCTAGTGTGGCCGGAAGGATTAGGTCAATTGAAAAAAAAAAATCCAATGACCTCATCGGGACTTGAACCCGCGACCTTCCGGCTTGTAGCATAGTACCTTAACCACTATGCTACCGTGTACCCTGTATTTGAGGAAGGCAGAAAGAAAAATGTTCTGTGAGAATTGAATTTAAGCAAATGGCTGCTGCCTTCTGATTGCTTGATTACTCATCTTACTCTTAGACCCTGAAGATGAAGGCAGTGTGTTCCTAAAAACGTTGGTAAAGTTTTGCAAGGCCACACATGATGGTAGTGCTCTTTGGAATGCACCTTTTTAGCATGATTGTTATCTAAATGCCGTTTTAAATTTTAAAGCCTAGAAGAACTTGAGAAAAGGATAGTTAAACGTTATGTGGGCAGCTTGTGTCACTTTTCAGTTCCAGTAGTTTATTGGCAATTTGAGAAATAAAATTTGTGAACTTCTGTTTATATCCACTACTGGCTTTGTTTGAAGTTGGTTGTGATGTTATGGAATGCACTGAGATTTTTCACTCCAAATAAAATGGTTACCAAAGAAAGTGTCGAAGCCTCTTGCACATGAACTTTTATGTTTTAAGATATTAGAATGTGTCTGTAAAATATTGGTTCACATATTTTGAAGAACATTACCATGGAGCCTGGAAAATTGCAGCTGGTAGCTGTAGTTTTTTCTTGCGTACATAGTCCAAAGTGCTGGTTGAGAAGCCAGGATTTTTAATGAATAAGTCATATTTTAGATCCACCTGAATCCGAGGAAGTTCTTGAATTTCTCTTTGTACACTTTTCTAAAATGTGGACATTTGATAAAATTCACTTCAGACTTGATATTTGTGAATATTTTCACCCAAAGGTGTGCATGACACACAACATGCTTTCACTTTTTATTTAGCATTGCACTTCATTAGTCGTAACATATCTTTCACATTCACTTCATATTCCTATATTTCATATTGAATGTGTCTGCCTGTAGGCACAGAGTGAGAAACGAAGATTTCCCAAAGGCTTAAGATGGTGACAAAAGTAATAATGAGACAGTAGCTATTATATGTCACTATAGACCCAAAATTTGTAAATTCTATCCCCTCTGTAGGTTGGCCAGGTATGAATGGAACCACATTTGGTCCACATTGACAGCTTTCTTGGTATCGCAGAAGATCTGTTGCAAAATGAGATGAATGGTGAGGTCAGGTGATATCCTCCAAGTGAGAAGTAGTATGCTAATGATGCACTTGAAAAAGGGCTGATCATCTTATCTGTAGAGTGTGGACAGTGACTCTGTGTTTCATAGATCGCATGGGAAGTTAAACAGGGCAGAGTTCATTAGCCAGAAGGCTTTCCAGCATTTGTACTGTTTGCTTACTGGTGACAGTTTCAACATGGATGTTCTGGTTGTGGTCATGTTTTTCACTGATCGTCCTTCAGATCAGTTAGATATTCACAGCTACAGAGAATTTTGCACAGGTTTAAAGAGTCTGAAACTGCAGCTGAAACCACATTGCACTGATATAATGAAGATTTTGCCCAGAGTTTTTAACGGTACTTTCTGTAATCAGACTGTAGTGTCAGATGTAAGGATGGCTGATAGATTATGAGTTGGAAAGGTTGGTTTCAGTATATGTTTCATACAAAAGCCNGGGGGGGGGGCATAAAGACAATCCTGGATGGGCCAGAGCAGTCCCCACATACTGGTTTCATTCAATGGTTTAAGTGTAATAGTACTTAAATAATACAGCACTTCTAGGTGTTTAATTCAGAACATAATTTTAGCCAGGAAACCTGCAAGGTGGGATCTTAAAGAAACGGGACATGAAGGAGAAGACTTGTTTCAGCTGGTTAAAGGTATTGGCCAGTTTGTGGCTGTTCCAGATATATGTAGTAGTGATCATTCAGGGTCCATGAAATGTGGGGAATTTCTTCACCAGATGATCAGTTGCTGGCTTCTCAAGGATTGAGCTCCATGTAGTTTCATTTAATTAAAATATATATTTATATAGAAATATGTAGTCTGGTAATATCCAGAACATAATGTACTGTCATATGTTAAGTGACTAGACACCGGGTTTAAATTGGTAATCAGATTTATTGGACTCTTAAAAATCCTGATGGATAATTACTGTCGTTTCACTAATTTATGCAATTTAGAGTTCACTACAGCATTCAATAAGTCTTCTCAGTCTGCTGTGCCTGCACTAGGTGCTGCCTGACTAGGCATCATAACACTGTAGATTCTTCAGCTTTTGTGTTCAGTAGTTCCTGTCCTCGCTTGCAGGCAACTGTCTCATAACTCCAAATTGCTGCAACTTGTGGTCATTGACTGCCTGGGCGTGTGTAGCCACTACTGTCTATCACACACTGGCACTCACTTCCAACCTAAAACAAACTAACTAGTCAAAGTCACGTTATGACTGATGGTCACTCAGCCAGTTAGTCTGGATGTCAACACCCATCTGGGGCACAAGACCAGATTATTTATTACTGCCATACAGTTGTCGTTTTATCAGTGTGGGGCAGTCACAGTCAGCAATACATGTGATCTGGTATATTTACAATTTTGTCAGCATTCTACAGTCATTTGTAAAGAGTCTGGTTCCTTGTGGATACATATTATTTACAGTTTTATGTGTATGTGCAATACATGTACAAGTCCTCGGTCAAGGTTTGGCACAGCAGATCGTGCCTCAGCTCATGTACCTCATGCTATTATTTACAGTTTTATATGTAACTCTGGTGTATGTGTATGTGCAATACATGTACAAGTCCTCTGTCAGTCAATGTTTGGNTACCTCATGCTATTATTTACAGTTTTATATGTAACTCTGGTGTATGCAGTCAGTGTTTGACACAGATGGTGCCTAGGCTCGTACCTCATGCTGTTACAACAGCTGCCTAGTCACTTCAGCAGTCATGCTATTAGTTATATTTTTATATGTATGTGCAGATCGTCACCCGGCTCATGTAGCTCTTGCTAGAACGGCTGCCAAGCCTCTTGAACAGTCGTATGCTTGACCACCGCCAAGTGTTCCTTATGTTTTCTGTTTTGGGTTTTGCCTTTTCTAATGTCACGAACATTTGCTTTTTTGTGATTTTGTATGACCAATGCTTGTTACCTGCACAATTTTGTTATGTAATAAATACAAGTGTACTGGGAGAGCTGTAGGCAGATTGCAAACTGGTGTGTGCCTTTGCCCTGTGTTGATAAGGTTATTTCTAATTTTTGTGTCTTTCAAAGAGTTTGAAGATGCGGCAACCAAAGGCAGTGATTACATAAATGTGTCAGATATACAGTTGCCTTCTTGGAAGGTGCCTGAGGGATTTGTTTGGAATACAACTTCCACAGGTCTCTTTTAATTTCAGTGGTTTTGTTAAAATTGTCACTTGACTTGATAGAGTGGGACTGTAGGTGGGGTTTGGGTTGGTAGTTGGATTTATTGAACACTTGCAGATCATAACCACAAGTGACTAGCACTCACTAATGTCTATGGGTTTGCCTCTTAGGAATATGCTTGGCCTTTTGTCAAGTGTGTGTATTACACACACATCCTTGCCCCCATACGCCTTCATGACATAGTGCTTAACTACTTAAGCACAGGGACTTTACCTTCACCTTCTGTATTGCACACATAGCGTGTTATTGAAAATGTTTTCTTATGCACTATGTAAAAGTCCTCTGTCAGTCCCAAGTTTTGCAAACAGATCGTTCCTGTCTTAATGCTACAACGGCACCTTAGTCACTTGAAAACGATGTAAGCTTGACCACTGCCAAAGTCAAAGGCACTTTACAGCTGGCAGTTTACCACCAGTCAGTCTGACTTGTTCCAAGCTCCTTGTGGCAGATGACCACAAATCTTTTTCTCCATTGGACCCTTGTAGTCATCGTCCTTATATAATGTCCTGTCTGACTAGAGGATGGGCTTGTCTGTTGTGAATATAATTGGCCTTTTGTCTTTTCTCATGTATGTAATATGGGGAAGTATTGTAATTGACAAAAATCAGGCTCAGAACTTTGATGTGGAACGTTTTCGTCACTCCTGAATACAAAGAAGTGGTTTTGGGAAAGCTCTTGATATTTGTATACACCTTACAAACACCTTGAATGGTTGGGACAGATTTCATTCATATTCGGTATTTAAGAGTTTGTCCACCAAAGGCTGGTGCCTAATGAGTATGAACATTCTCGCTTCTAAAAGAAATAGGTTTTGTTTTCAGTGGCTCCCCCAACTCAAAATTTCTGTTTTCTCTTAAATGACTGGAATAATTTTAAGTTTGAGTACTTTGTGGAGACCGCCTGTGAAAATAAATCTGCGTAGAAGATTTCTTTAGGGAAGTAATGTTATGCCTGTAGCTGCCCATTGCGTATTTTGTAAAATGTGTAATACCTTTGCGCTGATCTTTATTTTGATATTAGCGGTGATCGAACTAATGACCTTTTGCATATTAGGCCTGTGTACTAACTACAGGCCACTAAGGTAAACCAGGAATTGTTTTTATAATTGCACCCATGGAAGGTATGACCATAGACCGGAATCAAGGAATTTTGAGGATGAAGAGCCAGTGCCGACCATAAAAGAAGTAGAAGCAGCTATCAAAAAATTGAAAAATAATAAAGCTCCAGGAATGGATCTCATCATGGCAGAATCAGTGAAATTTGCAGGCCCAGAATATGCCAAGCACTTACATCAGCTAGTAGTTAAGATATGGATAACTGAAATAATCCCATAGGAATGGAACCTAAGTATTGTATGCCCTATCCATAAGAAAGGTGATGTCATGGTATGTTCTAACTATAGAGAAATTAGTCTGTTGTGCATAGCATATAAAATATGCCCTATCCATGACAAAGGTGATGTCATGGTGTACTCTAACTAAAGAGGAATTAGTCTGTTGTGTATAGCATATAAAATATTTTCCAACATTCTATTTAACAGACTCTCTCCCTTTGTGGAAGGCATAATTGGGGATTACCAATGTTGGTTTCATCAAGGAAGATCAACTAACGATCAGATTTTCACTATTCTCCAGGTCCTTGAAAAGTAATGAATTCCAACTTGAAACACACAATCTTTTCANTCTCTCCCTTTGTGGAAGGCATAATTGGGGATTACCAATGTTGGTTTCATGAAGGAAGATCAACTAACTATCAGATTTTCACTATTTGCCAGGTCCTGGAAAAGTGTAATGAATTTCAAATTGAAACACATCATCTTTTCATTGACTTCCAGTCAGCCTATGACTCCATAGATATAGATAGTCTTTATCTGGCAATGGAAGAGTTGCACATTCCATGGAAGTTAATCGCCTTAGTCAGAGCCACTATAGATTAGAAGTTGAGTTTTGTATGGTATTTCTTGAAACATCTTAACACAACCCTGCCTCACATTCACTACACCAATAAATAGATTCTTTCCTTTTACCATGTTTTGCGCACACCACACATC